AAACACACCTGATTAAGAGACCACAGGTTATAGAAGAGAGGCCAGAAAGATAGCAAGAAAGTGCAATGTCATGATGCTGATGGTTTCAAGGATGGGACCTCCATAGATATATAAGAGAACTTAGAAACTGGCTACTCTGGAGAGTAAAGTTTTAATGGACAGGTGAATTTGAAGCCAAAGTTTGGAGACACAAGAATTGACTAGGTGCTGAAGGAACAGAGATCATGGGTAAAAGCTGTGTTTCACTAGTGACAACTGCAGAGGAGGTAGAGGAGGGCGCGGTGTTTGACACGGATGTTTTCAAGGCAGTGTAGACTTGTGCATGCTTGTAAATTACAGAAAGGAGCCTGTAGATAGAAAAAAATACTCATTTCTGTAATTCTTGATGTGTTTAATTTTGCAGTCAATTACCAAGTTTCATTACGCCCCAAATCTCGATCCCTATGATGAGGTTATACTGCCCCCGTGTGGTGTATTCTGCCCAGGAGCTTTAAACTAGAAGTCTGCACATTTGCTGTGTAAATGGGCCAGATAGTAAATACTTAACTTTAGATTTTTGAGGGTCATATGGCCCAGTCTTGTAGAGTGAATGTAGTCATCGACAGCTCTTTGAGGAAGACGTGGTCGCAGCTGTAGTCCGCTGCTCCACCTGCTCCTGCTCCTCTCTGCTGTAGCTCTCCCAAGGAAACTGCGCCACGGACACGCCTTTTCACACTGGAAATACATCCGTGGAGCCATAAGTGGCGATTCACGTAATTAAAATTACCCTAACCCGTTGCAACTTAAAAATCCCTGGCGAACATGTGTGCTGACTTTGATCAGAGGGGCAAAGGAAAAGAATCTCAAAGGGAAAGGACCGGTTTGGATCCCTACCAAGATTCTGAGAATCGGTAAGAGAAAAACTCGTAGTTAAGATTCCAGGACTGGGGAGAATCCCAGGATGAACCCACGTGAGAATCCAGATGAGAATCCGCAAGCGACACACTGACTTGCACAGAATTTATGAGACTGCTAAACAGATTACTTCCATCAGTGTTGAGCCAGGTTGTTGAAATTGAAGTCATCACTGCTTGCTAGAAAAAAGAAAGTAGGCCTGGCCCTCGGCTCACACTTGTAATCCTAGCACTCTGGGAAGCTGAGGCAGGAGGATCTCTTGAGCCCAGGAGTTTGAGGTTGCAGTAAGCTAGGCTGATGCCACTGCACTCTAGTCCCAGTGAAAGAGCAAGACTCTTTCTCAAAAAAAAAAAAAAATAATTAGCCACATTTAATACATAAACAAATAGGCATGTCTGTGTTCTAATAAAACTATTTATAAAAATATGTAGGGGCCAGATTTGGCCTGCAGCCTCTGGTTTGCTGGCCCTTGGTCTAAACCTGTGGTTCTCAATATTTGGGCTGAACAGGCCTAACATTAAAGTTGCCTGGGGATTGTTTTTTTATGTTGCCCAGGTTGGACTTGCACTTGGAACTCTGGTCTCAGGGGATCTCAGCTTCCTGAGTAGCTGGATCTACTGGTGTGCGCCAGATCAGCTCTCTGGGTATTGTTTTAAAATAATGTGGGTGCCCAGGCCCCACCTCAGACTAACTGAATAGAAACTTTGGGTATGGGGCTGGGTCGCTGGTACTTTATAAAATTCGACCAGGGAGTCTATTGTGCAGTCAAGGTTGAGAACTACTGACTTTAAAATTAAAGTGCAGCCCACATGTTTTTAGTGCTTATTATATGCCAGGTGCTGAGCTGAGAGCTTTCCATGTACTATATTATTTCATTTAATCCTCATGACAAGTCTATGAATTGGAAGCCATTTATTTTGCCTATTTTATAGATAAGGAAACTGAATTTTTGTGAGATTAAGTAATTTTCTCAAGGTCATATAGTTTTTAGAGGAAGAACAGTGATTCAAACCCAGACATCTGCCTCTAGAGCCTGAGCTTCCTATCACTAGGCTACTCTATTTGTTATTATTATTACTATTATTATTTTTTTAAGAGATAGGGTCTTAATATATCACCCAGGCTGGTCTCGAACTCCTGGCCTCAAGTGATCCTCTCACCTCAGCCTCATGAGTAGCTGGGACTATAGACATGAGCCACCATGCTAGCTATTATTATTTTTAACTGAAAACACTCAGCCTCTATCTGAACTTAACTAGATAAACTATTTTTACCATATACTATATTTAAAATAAGGCACATAAAGTTAGTCACAAGCAGTTTTCCCCAGATTTAATGTACTTTTTCTAGTGCCATTGAATTTTCATTTTGAGTCAGTTTCTTCCCAGACCTCGTCCACAGTTTGGCACATCATATAAATTCATTGGTTAAGTACCCTTTCAGTTTGTTTTCTATGTTTCAGATTTGCTTCATCTTAGCCACTGTTTGACTTCACATCTGCTTAGGCTATCCATATTAAAGGCGAAGGTTTAGTATGACTTTCTTCATTTTACAGGCAGTAAAATATAGTGGATTTTTTATATATGACCTTTGAAGACAGGCTTCAGTTTGAATTCTAGTCCTGCTACTTGTTTGTTAAGTACCTGATAGTCTTCTAGCATTTTAGTCAACTGGAATGCACTGTCTTGCTTCTGACTCCCCCATATATTCTCTCTTCATGCTGTAGAAGCAAAAAGGAATTAGTTACCTATGGTGTTTTTAATTAACAATAACAATCACAACTTTATCACCACCACAATAACAATAGCTGACATTTTTGAATCCTTACTATGTGCTATTTTAAATACTTTTTTATGGGTTAATTCATTTAATTATTTCAATAACTCTGTGAAGTAGGTATTATTATCTGCAAGGAACCTGAGGCCTAAAGAGGTTAAGTAACTTTTCCAAAGTCACATAGATAATAAGTCGCAAAGGCAGGTTTTGAACCCAGGGAAGTCTGACTTTACAATCTGTACTCTTTATTACTTTTAAAACATTGCTTTATTATTCTAAGCTGCCTCCAATAGGAAATTCTACTGTCATATATTTATTCAAATAAGGAATGATTTTCCAATGCCTCCAAAGCAATGGTTGCCAGGCTTTAGGATTTCACAGGGTATTAAAATTTAAAAGAAGATGCTGGCTACTTTTAAGTTTTAACAAGAAAGGATCTTAAAAAGCAACCCCCCACCATCATTTACTATTAGCTCAAAATAAACCACAATTTAATACCAAAAAAAGTAGAGTGGACATAATCTAGAAAGATAGCATCCTAACACTACATGTATTCATATATTGTCCTTAAATTTCTTACTTTTCTGAGAACAAAGATTTTAGAATAACATTTTCCTTCTACGTTCTTCCTTATAGCTAGGTTAAGCCACATTTGTATTTAAATATAATAGCAATTTTAGTAACTTTTACAACTTGTCTTTCTAGAAAGAACCTATAACCTTGGATCTGGAAATTATCAATATCATTAATTAAAATTTTTTTGCTTTTTGTTTTTTTCCCCCTAGGAAACCATGTTTGGAAAAAGTTTTTGCTTTTTAATAAAAGGTGGAATAAAAGATCTATGGATCTTTTGTTCCAATAAAGTGGCCAAAGGACTTAAGAGTCTGAGAGGCCTTGCTTAAGATCTTTTTAGTCTTAATATTTTGAAAGATGAAATAAACAGTTTTGGGAACTAGCTCTTCTCTCATCCAATGCATTTACATAGTAATTACACTATTGGAAAATGAGAGAATATTTTAGTTAAAACCTTTAAGTTTTTGATAGTGACAGTGTTCTAATAGGGCTTATGTTTCTTGTACTTCTGATTCCCTCCAGAGTCCAAATGCTTGAGCATTTTCAATGCAGGTGTGGGTTCCAGGTGCCACATGAGTAGAAATCTATATGCACATGGGCCTCATGAATTTTTTATCTTAACATTGTAAAATGAGAAGGCTCAGTGCTTTCCATCTGCATTTTGAACTTGACTACAAACATGAATTACATATACATAGAAAAATTATTTGAAACCATTTTATAGTTATTAAATAGTCTATTAAAACCTTGTTTCATGTTATAACTTTAAAGAAATTAAATTTGATTATTTCATGATTACAACCAATTATATTGTTTCAATTATAATTCCTAATTGATTCAAGCCTATTAGCACGACCCCTGTAGTAGTCTGTTCCATAACGTTAGCAAAAGGCCAACGGTTTTCTCCTAACTAACTTCTATGTACTAGCTAATTAGATCAAAAATAGGAGTCTCCTTCTTTTTTCTTCTTTTTTTAATTTAATGACACAAAGAACGAGGGAGTCTCCTTCTAAATACATATCGTAAGGTGGCACTCTCTGGTGGATCCAGCAGATTGGATGCCTGGGCCCTAAGTACTGTTTATTAAACCAGGGATTATCACCTCCTGGAGCTGCAAGGAAGTTAGAAGAATAAAGGAGAACATAACTCACGATACCAAATAACTTATTCGTACTGGTGATACTAGACTAGGGTCCTGCTCCTCCCTCACAGTACTTTAACTTTCACTCAATGACTCACCTCTTTCTCAATACAAAGGAAAGACGATATTCTTTTCTCATCGATCCTTCTGATACTTGAGGAATGGTGATAGATTGAAAAACTTTTAAGTACCCCTTCTTTTGAGAATTCAGACATTTATAGCTCTCGTAAAAGAAATTTGAGCGAAGACTCTTATAGACCCATGTTGGAATAGCAAGCGCTCAGTCTTTGTGGCACCAGGGAGATAGAGCACGAAGACGACAATGTATATACATTTGGGTGCTGAAGTGGACCTGGAGTGTGGACAGAGGCGATAGGAGAATCCGGAGACCAGGATGTAAACGCTCAGTTCTAGTCAACGCAGGTGTGGGTTCCGGGTCTGAGACACCAATCACCTTACAAGAGGTACGACAAAAGCCGACACCACCCAGTAAAACAACACTCTACCCTCGGGGAATCCAGACCCATCTTGGTACTCGGGCGCCGAATGATGGCGTATCTCCGGAACCTGGAGGCGATTGGTTTCCGAAGAGGGGCGTCGGCCGCCAACGCGACTCGGAATCCTGGCCTAAGTCCTCGCGAGAACAGCGGCCTCGGGTGAGGGATGGCCGCGGAGCCGGGCGGAGCTGGCCTGCGGCTCCCGGGGCAGGCTCACCGGCTCGAGACATGGCCCGGGGTCCCGGCCCGCTAGACCGGCCTCGCCCCGACGCGGTCGCCATGCCCAAGAGAGGAAAGCGACTCAAATTCCGGGCCCACGACGCCTGCTCCGGTCGAGGTGGGCAAAGGGGCAGGGACGCCAAAAGACTAGGGTCTAGTGGCGGGAAGGGGGCTGGACCGTGCCGAGGCGAGCGCTCGTCTGCCTGCGGCGGGAGGGCGGCTTGGGCCAGGGACCTAGAGCGAGGAGGGGAAGGTGGGGAAGACACGTAAGAGAGGCCTCTTCCTTGAGGGTTGGTGCTGTGTTTCAGTGACCGTGGCGGATTATGCCAACTCGGATCCGGCAGTCGTGAGGTCTGGACGAGTCAAGAAAGCCGTCGCCAACGCAGTGCAGCAGGAAGGTAAGCTTTCCGTGAGCCTTTTAATGCTCAGGCCTGGGTGTTCTATTTTCACGGGATTCTGTCTCAGTGTTTTTCTTGCAGTCCTTTGGGCATCTTCTCATAAACAGGTTTGCTTTTCTCAATGTTTACGCGTATATTGGGGGTGGGGGAGGATTAGCCAAGAGTAGCAGTTCTGTAGCAGAAATATTTTATTTTCGCTTTTGCATTTAAAAAAATGTTTGTATACTATTCTTAAGTTTCCACTGCTTTCTTCTTGGGCAGTAATCTCTTCCCTGTAGTTCACATATATTTTACTCTGCAGTTTGCTTCCTTGTATGAATAACCTTGGGGTGTTCTTTACCTTTTCCGGTGTTTTTCTTGCTTTCAAGCTTTTTATACATGGATCCCAAGACATGTATTTTATGACACAGTCTCCAGCCTAGTACCAGGGTTAAACTGGATCCAAGTCCTCTTAAACATTGCTCTTCAGAACTTATGAGACTACAGCTCACCTTTTGTTTTATCCTGCAGGGTTCATAGTGGAAGAACTATGCACTCCCTTCAGTGCTGAAGTCAGCACTTTTAAGGAGTCTTTTGGTCCATTGCTTTCCAATTTTTTGTGTTTAATATACTAAAATTTCTTTCTTTCTTTCTTTTTTTAAACTTTGGTAACAGAGTCTCAGCTTTCTCCAGCAGACTCTCTCACATTGGGTTTTTTTTTTTTTTTTTTTTTTCCTTTTTCTGATGGCTGCTGGTATCTTGGCTAGGTTGTTTGTATTCCTGGGTGGAACCGTGTGCCATCTCATTCTCCCCTTATTTTCTTTTAGTAAAATCTCTTTGTGGCTTGGAAGCTTCCCAGGTTCCTGCAGAGGAAGCTCTTTCTGGGGCTGGTGAGCCCTGTGACATCATTGATAGCAGTGATGAGATGGATGCCCAGGAGGAAAGCATCCATGAGAGAACCGTCTCCAGAAAAAAGAAAAGCAAAAGGCACAAAGGTACAAGGGCTTGCTCTCTTTTGACTTGTTAGTCCTGTCTGTGGTGATAAATTGAAGCTGTTACTTCCTCAGTAGCAGAAGGGGAGATATAAGAAGCGATACCAGAGGCGTTTGGAGAAAACATGGCTCTCAACTAAAATCTCGGTAGTGGGACAGGGTTTAATACTCCTGAGCTTTTTGCTTTTGTCTAAATTTAAAAGGGAAGGAGATTGGTAAGAGTTAGTAGATTCTGGAGCTGTGAACTGGACATTCATTGAGTACATGTTATTATTAGGTAAAAACTCACATGGCAATGTGAAAACAAAAAGTCTTTGCCATTCTGGATTTCTGAATGTGTAAGGAGGCAGAAATATGATGAAAAAATGTTTTCCCAAGTATGTGGATTTTATGAAACCAGTTTTATTTCACATAAACTTAGATATTATCATGGGCCTTTAAATATTCTGCAGCTATTAATGTCTGCTTCATGTCTAATAGGTACTGTGGGAAATAGAAAAATATCTGATGTTTACATCTTAATGGTGATAATAATACTTATACAAATGAAACAAAGAATAATAAACTGATGTTATATAACATGCAAAACCATCATTTAGGTTCCATATTTTGCTCTGGACTTAATGAATCAGAATCTCTTGGGGTAGAGCCCAGAATTCTTAAAACTATAGTGGTTCTGATGATCAGCTAGGTTTCTGGGAAAGCTGATAAGTAATAAATGATGTGTGTATTTTTGGTTTCACCTCTACTTGAGAATCAGGTAACAGATATTTGTATATGTTAGAATATATTAAAAGAATCAATAAATTAATGAACTGACATTGCTTTACAATTATATCAGTTATTGACAGTGATATCTCTCTTTCTCAGGATCCAAAAATTAATACAGTTTGAGCATTCCAAATACAAAATCCAAAATGCTACAAAAGCTGAAATGTTTTGAGCACTGACATGATGCTCAAAGGAAATGCTCATTGGAGCATTTTGGATTTCTGATTTTTGGATGAGGAATGCTCAACCAGTAAGTGTAATGCAGGTATCCCAAAATCTTAAAAAAGCCAAAATCTGAAACACATCTGGTTCCAAGCATTTTGGATAAGGGATACTCAACCTGTATTGACATTCTTCACACTTGTTTGTCCTTAATTTCTCACTTAAAATCCATGTTTACTGTTACTATTCTATTAGGGAATTGTCTTGGTTGTTTTTTTTTGAGACAAAGTCTCACTCTTTTGCCTGGGCTAGAGTGCCGTGGCGTTAGCCTAGCTCACAGCAACCTCACACTCCTGGGCTCAAGCAATCCTACTGCCTCAGCCTCCCAAGTAGCTGGGACTACAGGCATGCGCCACCATGCCCGGCTAATTTTTTCTATATATTTTTAGTTGTCTGATTAATTTCTTTCTATTTTTAGTAGAGACGGGGTCTCGCTCTTGCTCAGGCTGGTCTCGAACTCCTGAGCTCAAACAATCCGCCCGCCTCGGCCTCCCAGAGTGCTAGGATTACAGGCGTGAGCCACCGTGCCCGGCCATTGTTTTTTTTTTTTTTTGCTACGTTCTCATTAGACTTTTTGTTAAAAAAATCTTTATTAAGATAGAGTTCATTCCTTTAAATTGTGCAATTCAGCGGTTTTAGTTTGTCCACAGAATTGTGTACCCATCAACATGCTCTAAGTTTAGAATGTTTCCAAAAGAAATCTCATACTTATTAGCATCCCTTTTCATTCCCTCCCAAACCCTGTCCCCAACCCTGGGTAACCACTAATCTACTTCTGTCTATATAGATTTACCTATTCTGGACATTTCATATAAGTGGAATCATATGATATGTGGTCTTTTGTGTCTGGCTTCTTTCACTTAGCTAATGTTTTTAAAGTTCATATTGTAGCATGTATCAGTATCTTATTCCTTTTTATTGCTTTTTGTTTGCCTGTTATGAATAATGTTGTTATGAATATTCACGGACAGGTTTTTAAGTGGATGTATACTTTCATTTGGTTAGGTAGGAGTGAAATTGCTGGATCATATGGAAACTCTGTGTTTGACTTAATTTGGGAAATTGCCAAACTGTTTTCCAAAGTGGCTGTACCATTTATATTCCCACCAGCAATATATAAGTGTTCCAATTTCTGCACATCCTCACCAACACTTGTTATTGTCTGACTTTTTAAATTATGTTGTCTTTTTTTTAAATGTAAATTTAAATTTTTAGTGACAGGATCTTGCTTAGTCACCAGGCTGGAGTACAGTGGGACTGCCATAACTCACTGTAACCCTGAACTCTTGGGCTCAAGTGATCCTCCCGCCTCAGCCTCCCAAGTAGCTAAGTCTACAGGTGTGTGCCACCATGCCTAGCTAATTTAAAAAAAAATTTTTTTTGTAGAGACGGGGTCTTGCTATGTTGCTCAGGCTGGTCTTGAACTCCTGGCCTCAAGTGGTTCTCCCACCTCAGCCTCCCAAAGTGCTGGAATTATAGACATGGACCACCCAGCCTGCCCTGAATTTTTAAATTATAGTGGATGTGAATGGCTAATGATGTTAAGCATCTTTTCATGTGCTTTTTGGCCATTCGTGTATCTTCTTTGGAAAAATGTCTATTCAAATCCTTTGCCCATTTTTAAATTGGGTTATTTTTTTATTATTGAGTTGTAAGACTTCTTTATATATTCAGGATACTGGTCACTTATCAAATACGTGATTTGTGGCATACAGATTCATCTTTTGCTCCCTTACTTCACTTTACCCCCATTAGGTTCCTCTGTTCTAGCCAGACTGGCCTTTCTTTTAGTTTCCTTTTTAATGAAACATATACAAAAGAAGAGAGAATAGCATAATGAGCCCTGTGTAGCCATTACCCAGCTTCAACAATTATCAGTTCATGGCTCTTTTTGTTTCAACCATTATTCCACCACCCCTTCACACACACACTGGATTATTTTGAAAAAATTTCCTGATATCCTATCACTATCTCTGTAAATATTTGTTTTTCTAAGTACCTTGGCTTCTTGTTAGCTCTCGATTTCACGTGCTTTTCCTCTTAACCTATGCCTGTCAAAATTCTTCATGTCCTTTGTGACTTAATCTGCATGAAACTTTCCTTTACTGATTCCATTTCCCTCATTTCGAAAATTCCTAAGTATTCTATAATTATTAAATTCTGTAATTATGTGTAAAACACTGGCAATTCTTCAGTATTTACTGAATTTTGTCTCTTGAGACAGAAAATTTTTAATAGCACTTTGCTTTGTAAAAGTCCTTGTGGCTCTCAGTAGAGGAAATTCTGATAGTTATTTGCCTTTCAGAGAAAGAAGAGGTAATGTGGGAGAAGGTGGGGTCCCAGACATGGTAGACTGAGCCTTGGGATGGTTACTGGAAATTAAAAGAATGGATAGGAACCAGAAAAGAAGATGTTGTTTTAGACACATTGGTCTCTGTTGTGAAAAACCTAATGCAAGAACAAGAATCACAGATAGAGCTGTAGGAAGCAGTTAGCTAGAAAAATCAGGGATAACTTTGGGGAAGTAGTGTAGGGGCTTTTTGCCCAGGAAAGAAGGCTGGTTTTAGGACAGTTTTATGACTATGTCTGAAATAAAGATTAGGGTTAGGTTTAGCCCAGATTTAGGTATCTTTACGGGGCGTGTGTTGTTACCTGCACCTGAGAAGTATAGGGGACCACTGGGTCAAGAGAATTACCACTAATGAGTTCTGAAGGAGGAGTAGTTAGTGATAGTTGTTTAGGAGTAACTGAATGCCTCTGGCTAGGATCATAGGTCAAACTGGCAATTAAACTAGAAGAAAATAAACAGGTTACAGATAAGGTTATCTGTAAACAGGTTATATAATAGATAACAGGTTACAGATAATAAGAATGTACTGTAACTTATCTAGTGTCCTATTTAGTTTGCACTTTGAGGTTTCCTCATACTATTTTAAAGTCAATTTTGTTTTCTATGTGACCAAACTGAAGAAAATGTTTGGTGAGTGGGGACTTGGAGGGAAATCAAGGGCAGGGTTTATAGTGTGCAGCTGGAATTTGGAGTCAGAAAACCTGGGTTCTGTTTACCTTGACTAGGTGGCAAGGTTCTTTTTTCTTGTTAGTAAAATGGGCATGATAATATTTTCCTTATTTCCATTGAAGAATTGTTAGGGTTGAATGATGAGTGTATGCAAAGGCACTTGGAAAACTTCAAACTACGTTGTAAATTGTTGTGAAATAAAGGTCTTATGAACAACATCTATTCACTTGAGCAACAGGAGGTAAGTTTCCAGCAGCTAGGATAAATGGGAAATGATTAGTGTGAGGGGCTTCCTTGGACCTATTTAAAACTTTTTTCTTAATGTTGCAAGCCCTGGGAGAATTGAAATGATTGAGTATCTTTAGATATGTGTGTAATAGAATATCAAAGATTATTATTCCTATTTCTGTTTCAGAAGACCTGGACGGGGCTGGAGGAGAAGAGTATCCCATGGATATTTGGCTATTGCTGGCCTCCTACATCCGTCCTGAGGACATTGTGAATTTTTCCCTGATTTGTAAGAATGCCTGGACTGTCACTTGCACTGCTGCCTTTTGGACCAGGTTGTACCGAAGGTGCGACCACAGAGAGCTCACTCCGTTATCTGTGTAGCTGATTTAATTGCTGTTTGTGATTTGGAGCTACTCATTGGATGGTGACCTCTTTTTACTTTTTCTGTTCCATATCTAGGCATGACCCTAGCTTTGGACTCCTTGAGCCCCTCTCTAATTTAAAGTTGATGTTATTAATTATCCAACTATTTGTCTTCACTGTGGTTGCTTACTTTTACCCTCCAGTATCCACTTCCAGCAAAAAGTTTTGCTTCAGGTGTCAGAAGGAACTGTCTTGACTTTTCCTTAGAGGTTTATTTTAGATAGAATATTGAAAAGCTACAGATGCCAGTCTGCTTATCTTTCCAACTTGATTGGTTGTTGCTTAGATTTGCTGGTCATCTTGAGTATCATAGTTTTGGTATTCGTGCTGTCCTATGTATAGTTGCAGTGAGGAGTGAGTGAATTATGTGATTAGTAAAAGGGCTAGCTTTCGATGCTTGGTGTGGGAGTGTAGTGGAGATCGTGAACTGTGAGTAAAGCTGTGGTGGGAAGGGGTGTTGAAGTAGGAGGAGTAGAGAACTTGCTGAGACATCTGACAGGAGAACCTGGTGGCTCTTCTCCAGTACAGGTTCGTTTTCAGCAAGTGAAGTATATTATACTCGTATCAATTCAGAGAGCTTGCTTTTTTGTATAGTGAAAGAGTGAGGATTTAAACTTTCAAAATGGACGGAGAAGTACAGGATTGCAAGGCAAAGAAGCAAAAGTTGCTGAGAGGTTGAGATGGTGATTTGTCTATGTATGAGCACTGGGGCCAGTGCTGGCCAGTATAATAATGCAGGAAAGTTCACACAGAGACCAAGACCTACAGCTGGAGAGACAGATCACATATTGGTAGGAGTAATGTGTCCTGTTTCAGGCACTACACGCTGGATGCTTCTCTGCCTTTGCGCCTGCGACCAGAATCGATGGAGAAGCTGCGCTGTCTCCGGGCATGTGTGATCCGATCTTTGTACCATATGTATGAGCCATTTGCTGCTCGAATCTCCAAGAATCCAGCCATTCCAGAAAGTACTCCCAGGACATTAAAGAATTCCAAAGTAAGTGAGAATTAGTGTTGGGGTTTGACTAATGGACTCTAGTATGGTGGGCCTGTTTTTATGGCTTGTCTCCAGCTTCTTTGATGGGGAGGGCTATAGGTCCCAGGCTGCTAGCGGACTAATATAAACTTCAGGGCTCAGAGGTTTCACTTCTCCAAGATATTCCCGCTATGCTGGTCTGGCTTATCTTTACCTTAAAGCTTTCTTGTGCTTTTAGTGTATTCCTTATTCTTTTTATTTTAATTTATTTTCATGTATTGTACATTGGACCACTTCAGATATAATGGTTTTAATGGTTTGAGCCAGGAAGAGCACAACTCAAAACAGTAGCTGTATGCTATAATTTTTTAAACGGTACTTTCAATCATGGTACAAAGATATAACATGAACAACTCGCTAATTTTATAATGTGACCTTGACATCTGGGATTCCCCTTTATTGACCTCCTTAAAGGATTCTGGTGTAGGCTTTACTCCTTTAGCATTTACTAAGTGCCCTGTGCCAGCCTGTTGCCAGGCTCTGTAGTAGGTTGTCTCAGAGACTATAAGGTACTCTGATTCATAGACCTTAGTTCTCTAAAATTCTTCCTGTGTTTTAGGCTATTTGAAATTCAGGATTTCTCCAGTATTTTATATTCCTACATTATATTCAAGTTTCCAGCATTCCTCTGATTTATAAATAGGTCTACTAGCCTTTGGTCCATTCTCTCTTTCCCTTGCTGAAATCTAGACTAACATAGCAGATATGATTATTTAGGCAAGTTGATGTCTCAACCTTTTTCTATTCAACTAATACCATTGTCTAAATTTCATTATCTTTGAGTTTGTAGATAATTTTTATTACTCTGTTCCTACCCACAATCTGATGTTCTATAGCACTTCTCATTCTCTTATACTTTGTTTTTATGGTAATGGACATTATATAATGATTCTTCTCCCCTAGTTTAGCTCTAGCGTGATAATATTCTACCTGATACATATTAATTTAAAAGGGTACTATTGATTTCAAGATTATCAAGATTCTGCCCTGGCTTGCAAGCTGAGGTGGTCAGGGCCATTGGCTGAGCTGTATGTAATATCATGCTAGCTGATGGATTTAGGGCAGGAGTAGCATGCTGGGAGAGTAGGATTTCACCCAGCAGCTGCTTCTGCTTGTAATATGAGTGTACAGTGTATCACCTCACATTTACAGTGTCCCTCTCCCCAGAAACATTTGATAGTATCAGACTAACTATGGTGAGGCTAGGGATCATCCCTAAGTTAGTCATGCCAGGAGGGAAGCAATTGCTGGGAGCAGAGCAGCATTGGGCAAACTCCTCATGCTTGACACATCTTAGCGGCTCCAGTGCAAGTGCAAGTGCTACTGCCTAAATTCTAAGATGCCCATACCTTCATATCCCTATCACTGCATATTAATTTTTTTGAAGTGGACTCTATAGAGCCAAAGTGGAATGAAAACTAAGGTCTTAATCCAGATAGTAAGCCCAGGCCATGTGGCTGCTTCTTTCGTGCCTTGTTAGAGATCTTCTGAAGAGGGTGTGGGACCTGCGGTGGCAGGTGTCCCATGCATGGCCTTGCCACTTGTATACCCACAATCGCATGGCATTCAGGGAGTTGCCAGCATGCCTAAAGGAAGTTGTCCCATGTTCCTAGACTCCAGCTTTTTGCATTTGATTCCCCCTCTCTCTCTTTTCAGTAGCATAGCTTGTGTGGGACACTGGAGCCGTTGTGATGGCAGCAGAAGTGTTTTCCCCTTAAAGCCAAGCCCATTATTTTTGATGGAACAGCAGGACGTACAGGGCATGTCTGAAGGGCAGGACAGCTGGCACGGCGGACGACCCACCCCTTATCCCCTGGGAGGTACTTCACTTCTTGTGCTTAACCCTAGCTGTAGCCTGACTTTCATTGAGGGGCTGACTCTAGACTGAATTCAGCCTAGCTCAGTCGTTTCCATACCGGCTGTCTGCTCCCAGAAGGTCCTGAGCAGTTCGCTTCTATTACAGGGCCAGCATTCCCTGGCTGCCTTATGGTCTTGTTATCATTTTGCCTGGTGGCTACTGGCTGCCCTTATATTTTAACGTAGAGGACTGGCCTGGTGAATCAGAGAGTGCCCCAGTCTCTACATAACCTGTTTCTTTCTGTCTTTAAAGATGAGAACAATAGGGGTTAATGTAAGTAGCCTTTGAGGTTGACTTGTATTGGTCCCTCTTCTCCTTACTAAACAGCCCTGGGATTGTCTGTTTTCATGTTGCACCAGTGTCAAGTTGGGGATCTATCTGAGCCAAAGTAAAATCTCAGCAGTAACACTGTGGCTGGCTTTAGAGCTGTCGAACAGAGGCTTTTGCTGATTATTTTTTGTTACCTTATAAAGTATTTTGATTTTTTTTTTCTTTTTTCTCAGTTTATTTTATTTTTGCTTTCTTACAGTGCTTACTTTTCTGGTGCAGAAAGATTGTTGGGAACAGACAGGAACCAATGTGGGAATTCAACTTCAAGTTCAAAAAGCAGGTATGTGGTTTTCTATTTGTTTTTCAAGTAATATTTTGTTCTAATAGATTTCACTAGATGTCTTTCTTTGTTTGTTTGTGCTGCTATAACAAAGTCTAGCAGACTGGGTAATTTATAAAGGACAGAAATTTATTTCCTCAAAGTTCTGGGTCTTGGGAAGTCCAAGATCAAGGTGCTGGCAGGGCCTGTCTCTCTGTTTCCAACATGGCCCCTTGTTGCATCCTCCAGAAGAGAGGAACACTTTGTCCTTCCCTAGTGGAAGGTAGAAGGCCAAAAGGGGCCAAACCCATTGTGAAGACTCTTTTATAAGAACCTTAATCCCATTCACGAGAGAGGAGCCCTCATAACCTAATTGCCTCCTAAAGGCCCCACCTCTTAATGGTATTGCCTTGGAGATTAAGTCACAACATGAATTTTGGAGGGGACACAAATATTCAAATCATAATGCTAGGCATGAAATTGGCTTATTAAAATCAAATAATCCATTTCAGAACTTACGGTACGTGTTGAGCATTCCAAATCCAAAAATGCAAAATCTGAAATGCTCCAAAATTTGAAACTTTTTGAGTACCAACAAGACACTCAAAGGAAATGCTCACTGGAGCATTTTGGATTTCAGATGCTCAACTGGTATAAAGCAAATATTTCAAAATTTTGAAAAAATCCAAAACACTTCTGGTCCTAAACATTTTGGATAAGGAATACTCAACTTGTAATGCCGTGAAAAGAAAAGGAAGGAAGAACTACTCTATATTGAAAGACACAAGGATAACAACCTAATGTAGAGTAAACCTAGAGTGAATCCTAGATCAGAACAAAGAGCCTGGCCAGGCGCAATGGCTCACACCTGTAATCCTAGCACTCTGGGAGGCTGAGGCAGGAGGATTACTTGAGCTCAGGAGTTCGAGGCCAGCGTGATCAAGAGCGAGACCCTGTCTACAAAAAATAGAAAAATTAGCTGGGTGTAGTGGCATGCACCTGTAGTCCCAGCTACTCAGGAGGCTGAGGGAGGAGGATTGCTTAAGCCCAGGAGTTTGGGGTTGCTATGAGCTACAATGATGCCACTGCACTCTGGCCAGTCTAGCTGGGGCTACAGAGTGAGACTCTGTTTCCAAAAAAAAAAAAAAAAAGCTATAAAAGACATATTGCATTTTGGGGGCAGTTAAGGAAATTTGAATTTGAATATGCTGTGGAAAATACGAATAATTTTCTTATATGTGATAATGATGTTATGGTTATGTGTGAGTGTCTATTAATGCTGAATTATTTAAAGGTGAAGTGTAAATGTTACTTTCAAATTTACTTTGCACCCCCTTCTCTCCCAGAGTGTGTATGATTTTTATATGTATTTGTATGTGTGTTTGATGGGGGGGGAGAAAGTCAATATGGCAAAACATCCAATGATAGAGGGTATATAGAAGTTTATTGTGCTAATTAATTAACTTTTCTGTATATTCGAAGACTTAAAAAAATGACAAAAAGGGGAGAAACTTACTGTAACAATGTACTGAAGTTATTTGCCTTAATTTTGTCATTGTTGTTCAAAGCTAGCGTATTTATAAGCAACAATAATTTATATGGTCTTATGTTTGAGGTAATTTGGGGAAACTATGAGGAGAGGGATTGCCAAAAAGGCTTTTAATCTTTAGCAGCCTCATTTTTTTTTCACCTGTCATCTCTACTTAGTATGTCACTGATGAGACACATTACAAATACAGTTAGTTATCTCTCACTTGATGGCAGGTGGGTTACTGATAAGTTTGTAATTAAAGTAAACCATATTTTCATGTTGATTTATTTCAAAAACGGGTGTGTGTGTGACAAGTTATAAGGAATTTGTAATCTTTTAAACATTGGAGAGCCTCTGATAGAGACTATTAGTTTCCATTTTTTATCAGATGCTAAGGAGTACCATCTAAATGAAGCATAAACCTGTTGCCGTATTTGCTCATCCACATGTATTTCCGATTTTTTCAAAGGTCAGGTTTTCTTTGATCTCTGTATAGAAACTTATATGTATATAAAGAGAGAGGAAATAACAGAAAAGTTTATCTTGCTAGCTTTAGTTGAGCCATAGGATTTTCATTGGTGGAGAATTGGAGCCATATACATTTCTTCCAAGCCAGCGGTCCACAACCTTTTTGGCACCAGGGACCGGTTTCATGGAAGATAGTTTTTCCACAGACTGGGGATGGGGTGGGGTGGGGTGTTGTGGGGTGGGGAGTGTGTGATGTGGCGCTCAGGTGATGATGCACGGCCCGTTTCCTAATAGGCCATGGATCGGGAATGGGCCATGGCCCAGGGGTTAGGGACCACAGTTCTAAGCCATTAGATTAATTCTCAGTTCTCTTCAGTCCCCTAGGTTAAAGAGCAAGTGTATGGGAGGATTACAGCCTCCCATTCAGTATGAAGATGTTCATACCAACCCAGATCAGGACTGCTGCCTACTGCAGGTCACCACCCTCAATTTCATCTTTATTCCAATTGTCATGGGAATGATATTTACTCTGGTAAGCAGAGACTCAGGATGTCATCCTCAGCTCTTTTATAGACTCTCACTATATGTAAGATTTGATAGAGATTTATAAATTTAACCATTAAGGGAGAAATCTTTGAAGAATAATGAAAGTAAGTCTGAAATCAGACATGTATATTAGGAACAGAGAGATTTGTGAAGATGTTAATTATATCTGAGAATATTTTACCTCTGTTAATTTCTCTGTAGGACAGGGAATGTTTTTGTATTTTCATGTGTAGTGATTATTAATGATTGAGAAACATTATCCTGTTAGGAACAATGGTGAGACATACATATGAGCACTGGATGTCAGGACCTTGAGGAATACATATGGGGTCATAAATGGGACAGTAAAACACAGGGTGACCAGCTCAGCTCTGTCCTTTGTGTGATGCTGTCCCTGTTCAATGCGTAGCTGAGAATTAGATTAGTAAACAATGTATGTGCCTCTGGCATATTTTTTCCAGGTTTTAAAAAATTTTTATTGGATTGGCAGCTGGAGAGTTCATGTAATTTGTCTTTTCTGTATCTTAGACTTATATTCAGAGGTACATGGGGTTCCCCTTCCACAATGAAAATAGCTTTTTTTAATGGTAAAATAAAAAATGCATGCTTCTTGTAAAGAATTTAAATAATACATAAAATGTATTGAGAAAGTAAAGGTGCCTTAGACTTCCACTATCCTGTAACTGCAATTAATCTTTTGGGAACTGTTATTTTAATGTGTCTGTTAATATGTACACACCCACTCTCTTAAATAATTTTGTATAATTGAGAGTATGTCATACATGCAGTTTTTATTATAAGAACCTCTTTCCTCTCTCTAGGTTAAGCCACACTAATGACCTAGTTACATACTCATACTCCATGTATTTCATACTCATACAATTCTATACTGACCCACCTACACACACACACACACACACACACACACATACACATTTAGAGATTATGTGTTTTATTTTACAAAAAATCAGATCAGATTTATGTTTCATGTATCTTGCTTGACTTGCTTAACAATATCTCATCAAAATCCCTTTAGGCCGTCTCTTACTGCTCCAACCCAATTTTAAAAAATTGGCTCTGATGATAGTCTATGTACATGTATCTTGATTTATTCATCCATTTGTGAGGCTTTCTTAGTATAGTTTAAGTATATGAAGGTGAGAAGACCTTATAAAATCATCCTTAATTTTTTATATCTTTACACAGGTGTTGGTGTTATAACTTAGAGATTAATCTTGTGGTCCAGCCAGTGTAAAGTATGTCTGTACTGTTTCATTTCAGAGTGAGATGTTGGAAACCAAGGTTGTGTGAGTTGGATACTGAATTTGCTTTTCCCTTTCAGTTTACTATCAACGTGAGCACAGACATGCGGCATCATCGAGTGAGACTGGTGTTCCAGGATTCTCCTGTCCATGGTGGTCGGAAACTGCGCAGTGAACAGGGTGTACAAGTCATCTTGGACCCAGTGCACAGTGTTCGACTCTTTGACTGGTGGCATCCTCAGTATCCATTCTCCCTGAGAGCATAGTTACTACTTCCCATCCCTTGGGGGCAGCCCTGAGTCTAGTCCATTAGTAATCAGATTCCGCTTTGAAAGGGTCAGCTGGATTGTATATCTGATTAGTAATGCACATGCTCAGGTTGCTGGGGCTCCTGTTAGGGGAGGGAGAAGTGTTCAATCAAGAGGAAAAACAGCTATGATTTATAAACATATTTTAATGTAAAAATTTGCATTTGAAAGGAGTGGCCCTGTTTTCTGTGTTAAAACCCCATTTGGTGCTATTGAGTTTGTTGTTCTTTATTCTTTTATCCCAGCAAAAATGGTTGATCTTGCTCTAGGGAAAAATTAAACTCTTAAATTCCCAAACAAGGAAGTTTCAGCATTCCCTTATGGATCAGAGGAACTTTAGAGGCCTAAAATTGTTACTACTGTTGCTTGCAATTTAGCTGCCCCTCGAATTCAAGTGAATATTTTATCTTCTCTCTTTACCCTTCTCTAGAAATAAAGCAGGTGACAGGGTTTTCAGAATCTTATAAGATTGACTTGTGTATCTTTTTTAAAAAATGATTTTTGGATATTTATTGCATATATATTCTTTTGCCAGTTTTGAATTTTAGGTATCTTTTTGCATGAGGCTGATAGTGGTGGTGATGACTTTGTACCCTTGGTACTATACTAGGGACTTTACATAGTGTCTCTAATTCTCAGTTTTGCAAGGTATGATTTTGTGGTTGAGAAAACTTAATGAATGACTGTACTCATAGCATCAGTAAATGCAGAGCCAGGATTCCAACCCAGGTCTTTCGTTAAAACCACAATTAAAAAGATCAGTCTCATTTTTCTTGTGGTAGATGGTGGTAAAAGGGAGTAGGCAGAATGTGTACATAAATGAAAAAGTAAAAGGGTAAGTAAAAATTTGATTGTGGTATACTTTATCCCTAATCAGCCTAAAAAGTATATAAGATTGATGAAAACTCTTTTAAATATGTGTTTCTAAGTTAAATGTAAAACAAACCAAGAAAGTTATTTCAAAATAGTGGTACTTTCATTGAATTGTTAGAAAGGCATTTATTATGTTGAAGGTCATTAAAAAAATGCATTGCATGTTGAAACCAGCCTCTTGAACCATAAGCACTTAGTGACTTTGCTCTGCCCTGCACTGTGCTGCTTCTGCTATCATTCTGTGTGCCTACAGAAGCCTGGCCTTTCATCCACGCAAAAATGCTAATGTCCTCCTGTTGGTCAAATGACTTGCTATAGCTGGTGTACTCTGAGAAGAGGATCATGGGTGTATTTTGTTTGCTAAGAAGATACTCTAGCTGCTTGTCCCTCCTCCCACCCTCCAAATTAACCAATGAGCTGGATATTAGTTGGATATTGTCAGGAGGTGGGCATTAAGACAGTATTCCTTAAAAAGGAAAATCTTGTGGGGGAAGTTATTGTGAGCCAAACTGCCAAATTAGCTTGTTGTTTTTCCATACTATCTTCCCCACCCTCTGCTATTTAAAGAATATTCTTAGGAAGCATCTGCTTAATACTGCTACTAACAGCTAACCTTACCCCACATTGAGGGTGGTATTAAAGCTGTTCACACAGAGAGTGTGCCTGGGTGGGCCAGTGAAAAAATTTGGGCATTTAAGTGATAAAACAACCCAAGGACAATAAGCCTCTTGCAGATCTCTGTGATCAAAAGTTGCCTCTTTGAGGCAGGAGGAGAGAAGCACAGAATCCTTAGCTCCCTAAACTAAAGATGCCATGGAGTAGGAAGGAGTTGTCCTGGTGCATTGTGTATCTCCCATTTAGGAGTTACCTTTAAAAAGGGGATGAAATAAATTTGGCTTAATTATTGTATTCTGACTCAACTCTGAGTTTTTGTGTCAAACTCCTTGCTGTGATGACAGATATAGTATTAGGTATTGCCTCAGCTCGCTCTTAGCAAAATATTGCCAAACACTTGGTAAAGTTGTTATCAATGGTTATCATGGCTGCAGCCTTCCTCTACATTGCCTATTTGCCTTGTCTAGCACGATTCGTATTAAGGGAGACATGATTAGTGAAAGGATGTGAAGTGTCTCAGGGATTTCCTTTTGGTGAGAACCCCAGACCACCTGGAGTAGAGTTGAAACTTACTGGACTACAGGTTAGAAACTGCTTTATAATTTTCACTTCCTTAAATATATACTATGATTTTGCTTTGAGGGTCAAACAAAATTCAGTTGACCCTTGAACGACGCAGGGGTTAGGGGTACAGACCCCTGCACAGTCGAAAATCTGAGTATAACTTTTGACTTCTCCAAAACTTAATAGCTTACTGTTGACTGGAAGCTTTACTGATAATATAAACAGTCGATTAACACATACTTTGTATGTTATATGTATTATACACTGTATTCTTACAATAGAGTAAGCTAGAGAAAAAAATGTTACTAAGAGAATGGTTAAGGAAGAGAAAATATGTTTACTATTCATTAACTGAAAGTAGATCATCATAAAGGTCTTTCATCCTTGTTATCTTCATGTTCAGTAGGCTGAGGAGGAACAGGAAGAGGAAGGTTAGTCCTGCTGTCTCAGGAGTGGTGTAAGAGGAAGAAAATCTGCATATAAGTGGACCTGCACAGTTCAAACCCCTGTTGTTCAAGGGTCAACTGCAATACGAATTTTGCTTCCATTCTCACCCCTGCCATGCCACATGGTGACTATACTGGGGGAAAACAATAAACGAAAGGTTATGTGTGTCACTGATCTCCACTACAGCATTTGCTGCTGATACAGAACATGCTGTGTATATATCTATAAATACATACATATGAACACATCGCGTGTATATAAAAATTCTTCACACTTCTATCAGTGCTCACTGGGTATTGGTAAAGGATTGAGTAGGCACTGTGATGAAACTTCACAAACCAGCTGGGAAAGATGCATTAATAGCCACAGGGGACAGGGTAAGGGAGCAATTCAGGAAAATGGAGAGGTTTAGCTAAAATTTGTCAGTCAGGAATTTTGGCATTTGAGACTGTTTTCATACTATGTATATATAATAGACGAACACTCCATTTCATAGTAACAGTGTTGGAACAGCCAGGTGCCTGAAGGCACGCGGCACAATTCCCTGAAGTGCATACTACTACAGAACTGTATTTGGGTTTCAAGTTTCTCCACTTAAAAAATTGGTGCCACCAAAGGAAAAGCCACCGATGGGTGGGAGAGAGCAGGTGTGAAAGGTGACAAACCATCAGCCACAATTACAAGGCCTGGACCGAGGCCAATTTAGGGAACAGGTTGCCAGACTAGGAACAGAGGGAGGTCAAAGGGAGGGGCAGGATGGGCGCGGCACTCTGGGGTCCGGGGGCTTTACTCCCGCCCGGTCAAACCCTGGCACTCCGCCACTTCGTCGGACTCTCGAAGCCGAACCAAGATGGCGCGCAGCCTCAAAGCGGCGCCCTTGTCACGTGCCAGGGCCGGAGAGCGCCCGGGGGCGGGAGGCGTGGCCTCGGGAAAGGCGGCCAGGCCCCGCCCTTGGGGGCGGGCCCGGGGCATCCGCGTTGGGAGGGGGCGGGGCCACGCGACTGGGCGCTTGGGCGACTGAGGCTGCAGCTACCTCGGCGCCGGCTCGGCTCTCTAGGACGTGTCCGGCTGCCCGGGTCGGGGGCGGCTCCCGCTGCCTCCGAGCCAAGCTGCCCGGCCTTCGGCGGTTGCAGGCAGGTGAGCGCCCAGAGCCTGGACTGGGGGAAAGATGTCTCTTTTTCCCACGTCCAGCTCTCCTCAGCAGTTTGGGGAGGGGTCTCTGTCTAGCGCGCTTTGGGAAACAGCCCATCTTTACTCCGGGTGTGTGTGTCGTCTCTGGCAGGCGTCGGGACTGCTCCCTGCGCCGCCCCTCGCCGGCCTTTGCGGTGCCCTGTGCCCTTGGGGGTGAGGATGAGGGGCGATGCCCGATGTGCGGGGAGGGCGTGGAGTTCGCGCTCGGCTCCATCGGCTTCGGGGGAGGGGGCCGAGTTGGCGAGTCTCCGGTGGGAGCTGGGTGGACTGCGCCCCCATTTCCCCTCCAGGAGAGTCTGAGAAAAGCGCCTCGGCTCCTGGGCCAGCTCCGCTCCTCTGGGCACGCGCTTCTGAGGGGCTGAGGTCTTCGCGCTTCTTGGGGGTCTTGATCCTTCCCGCGTTCCTCAGCACCCCTTGTTACTATCGCTAGCGCTCCATTCCTCGAACTGCCAGCCTCAGTCTGTGCCAGCGATGCCACCATCTCCGCAGTGCCAGGGCGGCGGGGTGGAAGGAGCCAGCGGCCAGCCCGAGGCCTGGTGGGGGTGGGGGCGGCGGTGGGGGTGGGGGTGGGGTGGGCGCAACAGGAAAGAGGGCTGGAATGGAGATTCCCGAACTGGGAGGCTGGGGGTGCGGAGCTGATTCACGTCCACGCAGTACGGATGTTTCCCAGCGCAGATCTTGAGGCTGTGGTGGTGGGTGGGAAGAGAGAGGTCAGGCTGGAGGACTTGGAAACGTGGTGTGTGGATGGTTTTCTTTGAGGAAGAGGGATCCAGGGCAAGGTGCCACTAGGAGCTGATGTCACCTTTGAGGAGAGGTGTGCTGTTGGTTTCCATTAGATGGTAGGGGAGTCGGGGCTGTTCTGCTCTTCTGTGTGGAAAGCAAGTGGTAAAGGAGGCTCTGCTTCGCGTGCTGATCCCCTCCTGGTGTGATCTTAAGGGGCCTCTCCAGGAGCCGGGTTTCAGGGACTTCCCATAGTCCTTTCCAGAGTTGTTGGAGCTGCACCCAGTACTTTCAACATCCAGCAAACATTTATTGGATACCTACTATATGCCAGATACTATGCAAGGTGCTAGGTCTTCTGAAGGCAATTTAGGGGCCATGGAGCAGCTAAAAGATATAGGTAGTAGGTAAACATAGTAGGTATTCTGTTAACACCCTTGCCCATTTTGTTACATTGCTATTGGATTAGAAGAAGAAAGAACTGTGTTCACGTGCTTTCAAACAGCTGTTTGAACCAGATTCCAACCTAGCACCCGCTACCACTATTAACTGGCCAGGTAGTCCCAGGGAAGCTGCCTTAGCAGAAGGGACAGCTTGAATGATTCCCCTTGGTTATTTTCTCAGCCTGAGGAGGCTTCCTGGGATAACTGGTATCTCAAAGTGATGAGATCATGAATAGCACAATGGTTACTGGGGGCCAAGAATGCACTAGACACTCTGCACAGTGGGAGACGCCATTTCTGGAAGATGGAAATGTGTGGGGGAGGAGGATGTGGAAGGGAATTCTCATCTAGTGGTGTCTGGGTGTGTGCTGCTGAGCATGGCATGATGTCAGAACCGTGGAGCGTATGAAGTCTGGCAGCTGGGTTGTAAAGGAGGATGGGAGGGGCGGGGCAGGGCGGGCAGGCTCCTGGGTCCCTAATCTGAGTTGATTGCTGAAGTCTTAGAGTTGGAAAGAGTTGTCAGGCATAGCTTGTAGGTCCTTCCTGAGCCTCCGAGGATAGCAGGGCTAGAGCTGGTGAGAGGATGAGTAGTTGAGCTGTGGTGGTGATGAGGCAGGGGTGAAGGCTCAGTGGCCCAGGGAGCTGGGTGCCATGAGGGCTTGAAAATACGGGGGAGCTAGCAGAGGCCTTTTAGTGCCCAGCGGTTCTTTAGGCCTTAATGTGGTGGGTTGGTAGGTAAGTTGCTGCAGAAACAAGGTGTGGTGACTGGGTCGTATAGAAGTGTGTGTGTGTGTGTGTGTGTGTGTGTGCGCGCGCGTGCGCGCACGCACCCACACACGCGTGCTGCTCGTGTACATGCACTGCAGAGGAGGGGTGGAGAGGAGCAGAAGGACTGAGGGAGTGAAAGCTGCCCCAGAGTCTGGGTCCCAAGTAGGGAATTGGAAGAAATGGAGGGGAGGGAGTGGGGTCAGAGGGAAGAGTGTGTATTGCAGCCACATGAAGTCACCATCTGTCCCCCTCTGGCCTGCTAGCTCACTGACCTATAATTAGCTCTGGAGGGCATACGGTGCTGGCTCACAGGAGCATGACGCTTCGGGTGGCTGGCAGAGTAGAGTACTCAGAGGGGCCGTGGTCCTTGGTGTCCTCTGAAAGGGGATGCTTCTTGGGGACCCTCAGCATTTGCTGTAATGGGAGGGGCCTGAGGGAACTGAGAATGTCAGGGGGCAGGGCTGGTGGGGGGAAGGAGCTCTAGGTGAGGCTGGTATGAGACTCCAGGGCCGGGCAGAGCCTGGGGACTGCCCTCTTGTCCTCACCTGGCCGCTGGCTCACTGCACGAGCAGCATGATTGCTGCCCAGCTCCTTGCTCTGCCTTCAGAGAGGCTTGGGTGCTGCAGCCTCGGGGCCTCCCTCAAGCGTCTTCTGTTTCCCCAGGTGAAGTCAGCCCTAGTGAGGAGCAGCTGCCTGCCTTTCAGTTGAGGGCTGAGAGGCCTTGGCTGGGGCTGCTTCTTTCTGAGAGAGCTGGAGGAGATATTGCCACCAGTTCATTCAATTGGTCATACTCCAAGTGGTGCTCAGCACTGACCTCCAGGCTGGGCCAGAGACTGAATATGTGGTCACATGCTGCTCTGTATCGCTCTTGAATGATTACTTGTGTTTCTATGTTCTCTCAAGTAGCCTGTGAACTTCCTGAGGGTTAAGGTTGTATCTTACATGTTTTTTGTTTTCCTAACAGTATTGGATTCACGGAAATCACTCCGTAAGTGATTGTCAGGTTGAATTGAAGATGTCTGTCTTCTGGTCCCCTGGGTTTGATGAAACAAGGCCTCCTTGCAACTAGAAACATTTAACCTGGAGCAGATAAGCCTCTGGGGACCCGGTACAGTGGTACTACGTCTCAGTGGGGGATTAGATTCTACAGGCAGTAGATGAACTTAAATTTCCTAAATCTCTCATAAAGCACGGTATATGGTAAACCCTGAACAATAATATGAATGCATAGATATAACACATATATCTATAGTCTATATTAGTTATATAAACATATAGTATATATATTATCATACAGTGATTTAAGAAAGAGTATATACGCACAATATAATTTTGTAGTTAAGTGTCAGATGAAATAGCTGGCTTGCACTTAGAGGCCTTTATTGCTTATTTTGCCCAGCCAGTAAAGTTGAATTCTCATAAATTAGATACATATCTGATGTGCCTTCATGGCCATTATCTTCAGTTAGATAACTGTCATTTCAAAGGGGAGATAGGTTTCCATTCAATTTAAGAAAAAGCTTCCTTAGAACCATGAAGACTTCCTCATTTGGTAGTGAGCTCCTGGTTCCTGAAGGATGATTAAGTAAAGACTGGGCTGCCAGGGAGGCTACGGAAGAAACTCCCACACGGGGTGGGAGGCTGGCCTGTGTGACCTCTGAGAACCCTTCTGCGTAGAAATCTACCATTCCAGGTAGGGGTGGGCACAGGCTGGTAGAGGTACCACACACGCGCACTGTCGTGACTGCATGCACTCGCACACGCGTGCTCCTGACCACAGTCCTGTGCAGTTATGAGCCCTGACCTGTACTTAGAGCCACACACCTCCGTACATTCTCGAGACTGGACACACCCATTCCCTCTCATGCACATACTCTCAGGACCCTGTTCTTTTGACCATAGTCTTACATTCTCCCTCTCTTCTCTCTTCTTTTTTCATGACAACACATACATACCACGCATTCTTATGATCACACACACACTTCATTGCATGAATACACATGACCTCCCTCCCCCCACATTCTCTTTTTCATAATTATAGATACACACACACCACTTTTGTGATCACATAACATGCAGTTTTTATGATGCCTACATTTTCCCTGTGCTTCTGTGCTTTGGACCTTTTACACCCTGGCAGCTGTCAGCACTCCAGATAGTCCTGCTTTCTGCTACATCATGGCTCCCTAATCTCCTAGGTTGATCTACTAGTGCAGTGACTCTGAGCAGTTATTTATTTTTTAACACCAGAGGACTCTGTTTAATATGTGTCCCACACAGACCCCTAGTTTTGAAAGATTTTTATTCTCCAAATGTGCTACACATATTTGCTTTGTTTCTTCTTTTGCAAATATGATTTGAGGACATTTGTGGTAATTAATAGCTCTGATTAGCAGAAAATGGCTAGGTTTACTATACTTAATGATGTAAGTTCAGTAAAAACTGTGTTTGTGTTCAACGGTGCAACCTTGTGTCTTGGCTTGGGTAAACATATGGTGTCTCTTAGCCATTTGGAATATGGACAATAGTGGGGATGTGAGGGCCCTGGTGCTGCCCGTGTGGCCTTCCCAGGTTTATTGCTCTGTTGCGTTGATGCGCTGCCTTTCTGAGAGAACGCGTGTTTATTTTAGCAGGGGTCTTCTGTAGATGATACTTAAACCTGGGATCTTCTGACCCGTTTTTAGACTTGGAACCCTTTTAGAGAAATGGAACCTTAATCAGATGTCTCATAAAACTGACAGATTTGGAGTTAACGGGATTAAAGTAAAGGGAGTTCAGAGCCCTTTGAATTTGTCACAGCTCTCCACCCTTTTTTTCACCCCAAGCTGCCCCCACAGGTACTCTGTCATAAAGCCCAGTTTGCAAATTAACTTAAAGAGGTAGTTATGATGTCTGTACTTTTGGTATTTCAGAAAATGAACTATTTTTGTGGGGAGCACAGAGGCTTGTAGCCCTCCCTTCCCCATTGGTCTTTGACATTAGTCTTCCTGGGGTAGCGATACTGAGGGTGACCAT